ACTATCCCCAACTTCATGAAAGGAATTTGACGTCCGATAATCTCCGATACCGTGCAACCTCCCCCCTTCTTGACGGTCGATATTCTACCACCGCCGACAGTTTTTTTTCTCCTGAGCCCTCCAAACCACAAAAACCACCATCGACTATATTTTTATGCCTTAAGCTCAGGAGTTTTTTTTCACTGCTGGTCGGATTTGCGTTTAATCGCTTCCCTTGACAATGCCTGTAAACTGGCATTAAATTAAAATTTATTTATTTAATTTATTTATTTATTTAATTTCAGTTGACATTTATCCTGTGAAATTTTAAAATTAGCTATATTTATATCCTACCTCATAAATTTTACGTTAAACCCGTCCTGGAAGACTGTTGGTTTCGATTTTTCCCCTGCAGGCTGGTACTCATAAAAGAATTTAATTCGTCCAGTATCTATCCACCAAATGTTCTAACCACGGAATACCGAGATTCGACGTATTAAGAACGTCGTGGACTCACAAACTACCATCCCTTAGGACTTTTTTTCATTAAAAAATAGGTCATTTTACTGTTTAACCTTTTAAACTGCTGTACTATTAGTCCACTTACCACTTCGAAAAGCTTGACCACCCTCAACGCAGCAGTAACCGTATGGTCTACTTATTTCTTCCTCTGACACGTACAGGTAAATATCTTAATTATTTTCTACCAACTGAATTAAAATCTGGAATAAGTGACCCAGGAACGTAAAAATTCTGCAACATTATCCCTTTTTTATACAAACCATTGCCTGCTTTCTGCATTCAGAGCAAACTCCACAATTCCTAAATGCCGAATCCACTGAATTCATTTTCGGTAATGCGTAGTTCGTGACCCTTTATACCTCTGGTAGGTCATATCTCAACTAGAGTGGTGCTGATCTGTAGTCCGCTTTTCACCTAGCAAATTCTTTATCCGGCTGTGAGTAATTGTTCGCCATTCACTGTTGTCTGGTAGAGGGCTCAATTGCCATAAGTGGGAATGGAGCCCTACTCGAACCAACAATTTCCATTGCGAGATGCGGTCATTTATCTGCTGCAGATTCTCCTCCTAAATCATCTCAATTACCTAAAACCCAGTTGACTTTGCTGACTAATCCGAAGTTGTTAATTGCTTCCTCGGTTCATTCTGCACATTTTTTTGATAATGCCTTCAAAGTAGGACCCAGCATAACTAGTTTTAGTAAAGTGACACTCAGATGAAAGGAAAGAGAAACCATGGAAAGTATGAAAAAAGTTAAAAATGATTTTGAAGAATTACGATTCCATAAAAGTAAGGGTAAGTAAGGAGAAAAAAGGAGGAAGAGGAAGAAAAATAAAAAAACCCAGGCGAGTCACTTGAGACATCAATAAATTTATTTGAAGAGTGATCAAACGAACGAAATGGTACAGAATCAGATGTAAGACTTCAGTTAAGAAGAAATAACACAAGTCCGTTTAGGCAGCACCTTATTCGTTTGGGATAAGGGAACTTAGATGGTGACGTTCCGGGAAGAATGTAAATAGGAAGTTTAGGTGATCGATCTCGCACCAACCACATTTTGACCGCCAGGAATTATCTTTGCTCACCGCAAGCAAGCCACAATCCTAGAGTCTAAGTCACAGTTTCGGAAGTGTTTGAATAAGAAATAAAAAAAACTGACAAGCATATCTTGCAGCTTCCCTTTGACTCTGCTACAATATAAATTCGGAAAATTTTCAGCTTTTATTCGGAGTCTTGTTTCCGAATGGGGGAAAGAAGTTTTGTTGTCAGAAGTTGAATGTCCCCAAAATCCCCATTTCACCCACGATATGCAAGGATCATGCCAGTGAGCGGTATGCCAGACATAGCTGACGTAATTCGACGCAAAACATTGGAATACCCTGGCCGATGAAGCTGCTTAATCGGCGGTTAGCCTGAGTTTTATATCATTGTAAAAATTTTCAGAAGGAAAAGCCACTATCTTGAAGTCAACAGCCAGCTAGGGTAAAGTGCTTCTAGACTGGCAACCTCGGTGTCGCAGAGCCGTTCTCGTCGCTCAACAACCTTCGACCTTGAACCTGAAGAAGGGCGAGACTCCAGCAACTTGTTCGAACGTGTTAGTATTTGCGCATCCTTTGAATTTTTAAACGGCTCTCGCGGGCCGTATGGGATTTGTCTCCCCGCATGGAAAAAGCGACCGAGGACGCCCAGTAAATTCAGTTTTGCTTAATTTCCTCCGGTGTTTTTATTTCGCGTTTATGTCCTTCTTTTTTGAAATTATTAATGGCCATAGACAACTGTCGGATTTGGCATTTAGTAGAATTGCGTACAACGGAGCTCTTTACCAGTATAGTCCTGCTGTACAGTGCTGGTGGAAGTACTTCTGCCATTGAGCCACCGAAAGCGACACTAGTCCTTCTTCCCCCACAGAGCACGCAAAAACTTTCCATAATGACCCGATCTGTATGCGGAAACACTTTCCTATATAACACATTTTAGAATTAATTCGGTTGTTTCGCCCTGTTCACGAATTTTAATAAACGTTTGCTAGTTTCGTGGCGTTGATGATTTCCCACAGGCCTTTTGTTTATCGCCATAGTGTAGACTGACCCCCTAACCTTTCAAACTATCCCGCTATAAGTAGATATGACTGAAAAGGTCGGTCATCCGTAGTTAAAATCGTTATAACTAGTGTTGCTGAGCCGATCACGGGTTTTCTGAATTTATCTTTGGCTTTTCTCACATATCGAAGTAAGTTGATGCAATTGAGCGCCCTGATATCGCCTGCCCCCTATCCTGTTTTAGCCAGCTGCCGAATTCGTCACGCCATAATTCAGTGCGGCCCATGCCCTGTGATGGGCGAATATGCCCTTTTTCTACTGTTGGATTTCTATTTCCGTCGGGTCTGCTCTTCAGACCTGATCTTACCACATTCACCTCAGTTGACCGCGATGTTGGCGACGCCGAATCATGAACGCATTCTGAGATGTCATTGTGGGTTAGCTCTCTTTAAGTGGGTTAACTACATGGCTGAATCAGTTCATCCGGCGGCTCTTTAGTGTAAGAGCGGGGTTCTGTGTTCTGTTTGCGGACAGGAGCACCAATAGGCCGTATTTAGCAACCCTTGAGCGGAACCAGTTTGAACGTAGCCGTATGCAACCAAAGCTTTTTTGGTGGACTTCGTGGGCGATAGAACATGCCTTGCACGGGTTTGAAAAAGCGGGTTATATGTAGGCCTCAGTCAGTTGCTAACACAGATGAAAAAAGAGTCAACCATGTGGGACCTCCGGTGACCAGTAAGAGGATAGCTTTGTTTGGGCATTTATGATAGAGACCCTGCTGCGCTCCCCAAAGATGGTGGATTTAAAAATTCCGCACCGACACTGTTAGCGGGGATATCGCCTTGTCTGAGGCATGACAGAAGCCAGTATCATTTTCTGCTCAGTCTGACAGTTTTGTCTGGCGATGCGGTGCCCTGCAGGTTAACCCTCAGACAGTCCTATCGTGTCGCCCATTTGCCAGTCGGTCCTAGCTGACATGCCGTTTTTTTCGACCAGCGCCTGCAATGGCCTAGATGCATAAGCTAAGCCCAGCGGTGACCTTCGTCATTCATGCGAGGCGTCTAAAACATTACTACTCAAAAAACAGGTTGACTATTTCGCTGCATCGAATTTTATGAACAAATTTTTGACGTAGTGTAGCTTCTAGAAATGCTCTGAAAAAAGCACAGCCGCATTCCCACGAGCTATATTCTATGCTACGCGCGCTGCCCATCTAGGCTCTCCATCTGTCGACAGTCGTTAAGCGTGCTTGTTCAATCAGACGTGGTCAATCTGTGCTTCGGTCAGCCCCTGGCTTGAATTGCAACTCAGCAGGTGTTTTCTTAGGGCTGGAATTGGATGCTAGCCACGTTCGGCTTATTTTCTCAATCTGAGCCAAGTACTAGGTCGTCACTTTCGTCTCAATTGTCTATGTCAAATTTGCCGACGATATAGAATGTCGTTGGTTCAAGTTTGTTAGTTTGGGTCTCCCCATTCCCTGCAGCAATATTTATCCCATTGGGGAGGATAGAATGCATAAGTTTGTCATCGAGCTTGCACTTTCAACCTTTGTCCATATTGACAGTGGGAGTATAGAAGGCTGTTGGTAACCGTACCCTTTTGTGCAATTCGCGTGATGCGGTAGAGAAAGGTGTCATTGGCATAAGCACTATGTCCGAATATTGGTGTGACGTAGGTGGAAGTATAGTTTCGCCACAGTTGTCATGCACGTCACTGTAATGGAGGTAGTTGATGGTGTCTGATCCTGCCGCACTCAGGTAACTGAACTTTCAACAGGCAGACCATGCCAGTGGCTTAGGCGAAGGGGATGCGCATTTTAAGAGATTGTATGCCTCAGTAACTGAGCTCGCGCATTTTAACGAGAAATGCCCTTTCACATTCGCGGACTACGTCCCATTCTCGGAAGTCTGGACGCGTCGGTTTCTGTAAACAGCGTAACGTGAGACCCACTCACTAGGTCTTTATCGCTCAGGAGAACCCCGAAGGATATGGTGTAAGTGAGGTCACCAATCGAGCTCGGCCTACGGCTGGGACGCTGAACTATAAAGCAATAGTGCCGGTGGAGGCTCAATGGTAGCGATCAACGTTCTCACTGTAATGCCTGTTTGGCCCACAACCTTGTGAGTAACGGTCTTTTCACGTCAGTGGCCAGGGACACCTGAAGATATGACTGCTGTGTGGTGTTCAGCCAATGATGCATCAGACTTATTTTCCAGTTAACCATCATCTGGGAACGCGCCAAGTATCTTGTAGCTAGGTCAACGGGTAGTCCTGCCTTCGCAGATATTGGCGACAATGATCATGTTGGTAATTAAGTTTGAAAAGAGGCAAAGGGCTATCTTGATTGCGTTTCCGATGCAGTTGGTGTTAACGTGTTTAAATGCTCATCTGTCTACAAAGCTTTTGGGTATGGTTTTCCGCTGAGTTGTTTAATTAACCTGCTTCCTTTACTGGTGTGTGTCGCGATCAGTAAATCGGCTTTACTGGCACCTTACTCCTGTCGGTCCTGCCTAGAACCAAACAGGGAAAAATTGACACCTTTATCATTGCTTGTCTTGTCTTTGTCGTTTTGCAGTGAAACAAGTGAGTCTCGGCGTCTAAATTACATATCAAAGGCGAGATACCAGGAACTTGCCAAAGAGGTAAGTTTTTATTTTCTTCGTCCGAATACAGTCTTTAGATAAAGTCTTGGGAGGACGACGTCCGTCATATCGGCAATATGTCGAGGACTCCTACTAAAAAGCAGAAGATTGATCTTGCAAAGCAGGAAGGCATGCGGGTAACTCCTTTCCTGCATCCGCTTATCCATCGTTATAAAGGCCAGTCTCGCTCCCCTAGATCGTATCCCTGTATCAAAACTTCGGCAGCACTGGGAGAGTTTAATGGCCGATGAACCCGCTCCTGCTCGCGTGCCAAGACCTCCGTTAAAAGAAAAACAGGTGGCTACCTTTACTTGAAAGCGCCCTTTCGTTTCGTCCTTTTTTAGCTGGGACTGTCTATTAATGTCAGCTTTTTATCCAAAGGGTTTTCCTCTAGGTCACGCCAATACCATCGGGCGTTAGCGGTTCAAATCGACCTTCACGTTTAAAACCCTATGCTCTTCTTATCTCGACTACTCTTCTCACTGGCCTGCCTAGTTGCCATTTTCTAACCGGCCGCGGTCTCTACCAAATTTTCCCGTCATTTATAGCACCCTTCTAAGGGAGTTTTTGCAATCGAGCGAAAACCCCTTAGGGGGTGTATGTGCGCCGTCCTTGGATCCAATCGACTGCGCTTCCACATTCACTGGTTGTTGGAAACGAAACTTTTGTCTGGGCATGTGTATTTGTATAGTAGAGCCTCCTCCGGACTCGTTTGACTTGTTGTAGACAGGCACATTATTTTGTAAACAAATGGACTAGTTAGTAACGAGCGGCATTGCTCCCAAAGAACCGCGTCGTGGTCGCTCAAAACCTGTTGTTTCTACGTGTGGAGCAGTCGCAATACAGTCTAATCACAGTCTCTTAAGCACAACTTTGAAAGGGCTTTTCAGACGAATAGGCTCAACATTTTCCGTCTACAGCTGGTGAAACAGTAGCGAGTCTGAGTTGTAGGCTAAACCGCCCTTAGAGTCTTGGTCATCACCAGCGACTATTTCTGACGTTGAAAAGACTTCTCAGCGTTTGCTCGCGTGCGGTCGTTCTATGTTATTAGCTTTTGAGTGACAACTTTCTACACATTTGATAATTACCTCCGACAGCAAGCTAGGAAGACGACAAGAAAAACAAACAACGACCACTTTTAGGGGGGGTATAAACAAATAGCTTCTTGTCTAATAGTAGGAAACGTGGTGGGTGGTCCGCTACAAATCGTACAACTAGGGCCCGACGGTATATTCCTCCTTTGGTCGAGGCTAAAGGTCCAGACAGCATATTGCGCTCAAATCATTTTCCTCGCCAACCGGTCGCGGACGTCCGACCCAATTCTCAAACCATTTCATCGAAGCTCTTGACTAAGTATTTATACGATCACAATTATTTTTGCCACTGTCAGCTTATGCACAATTTCTGTTAACTGTCTTCCACCACAGACTTTCACCGTTGCTCGTCAAGGACAAACCGTGGACACGTCAACGACTGAATTTCCCCTCCCTCCACCGGACGATAAAGGCGAAATGGTGGCCCCTTCGACTTCGTGCGATTCTCCGCGATCCCTTCCCGAGCCACCTGTAATTAAACATGTAGGCTTTACCGCTCTATGTCTTTGTGCCTTATGAGGTTGCTGCCTTATCTTCCCACCCGCTTTACCTGTCTTCACCAGGCGCCGCTAGAATCCATGGATGTGCCGGAACTGCAACAGACGCAGACACTTCCACTTCCTCCTCCCCCGCCGTCAGTATCAACCAACACCGCCGCTCTGCCTGCTTCTTTGTCGCCTCCCGTCTCGCATCTACCAGAGGAATGCTACACTCCAACCAAGTCTGTTAGTGGGCTTTCTAAGTCTGCTGATTGCATAGACCTCTTCGAGAACACCATTTCGGTGTCACGTAAGTTGCATTCCCTTAAATTTTACCCTTCTCATGGCGTCTAGGCTTGTCATTTTGTCTCGTTTTGGACACCCTAGAAATCGTAACTTAAACCACTACATACTGTCAGGCTGCGTGTAACGTCCCATCTTTTGGTGAGACGCGTGTGAGTCCTTTTGTGACCTTTTTGGTCACGCACAGCAACCCCGCTATTACAGTGCCGTGTCTCAGGTTCTGTTTGTTGTCGTTTGACATGTCACACCGTCGAGGGCCATCTTACCACTGCCCCTTCTTCAAATGGTTTTAGTAGCACATCACCAGCTCGCTTGCGACTCCGTTTGTAAAGGCCTACGTGGTGCGCCTCCACCATCTCCAACGAACTGCTCTATGGCCGGAAAGAGGCCACGCCGCAGTTGATGGCATGCGCTAGTCGGAGTGTGCTGAGTTTGCGCCAGTTCTCGACTATTGCCATGCATGCATGTGACACGCGTTGGACCGAAGCTCAGCCCGGGCCACACACTACGTTCGACCTCATCCATCTCTTCTGACAGGTTCATACAAACTCAGCGTTAATTGGGGGAGGCTTTGGCCGATACTTAGGTGCCTTCCCTCATGGTAACTCGATGCATTTCTCCCTATATCTAGTACGACTCACTTCAAACCATCAAAACACGCCTAGAGGTGCCGTTGAAAGTTGCCACCTGACGATATACTTCGAGCCCCCTTTGGAACGAGGGCCAGACATATTAGTATTCATCGTTAAATTGTGCTTTAGGAGGCGCGACAGCGTAATAGTTTTTTTTTCATTCCACCAGGAGACATAATTAGCAAGAGACATTACCTGCACAGATAGTGGGTACGGAAATGACTGTCACTTATTTATCGTTGCCAGCTGGTGCCGGTGCAACCCAGGACCCGGTGATTGAGCAGCGGCTTCATGATCCGTCGGCTATGGTCGAAGGTGTTAAAGACCGCATGGGGGTGATGTTTGTCAACTCGCGAGGCAGAATACGGATTTTCCTTTTGCATGCCTACCAACAACAGTACTTCATCAGGAAATATTACCAAAAAAGACTAAGGTGTCCGTCACCAGCCAACTTGAAAATCAAGCCATAGGGCGGCATGTGAAACTGAGTTTACCTGCTGTTTGCTATGCACATTTTCGCGACCCAAGACTCGAGCTCTGAGGGAGAAACCGATCGCCCCGTATCGATAAGTAACTACCTCTGGCGGATTTGAAGAAAGTGCCAGTAACAACAAGCATTCGCCTAGGCGATGTAGCACTCTCACTAGCTTTTCTTCGCTTTAAAGTTATCGTTTTTCCAATACCCCTCGGTTTTGCCAGCACCAGAATGCCCGAGCTCAGTTCAGCACACCTATTACAACCGCCCGCGCCCCGGTGTCCTGCGTAACTGGCCAAACACAAGTAACCTTGACGAAAGACAGGCCGACGAGGATGTCCAGCCTGGAGTCCCGCGCCAGCGCTCTGTCACTTTCCTTCCAAAGCGAGGCACTGCCCCTGGTGATACAAGCTCCGGCGAGACTGAGACTGATAGTGGTGGCGGGATTTACGATCGCCTCAGTTCCAGTAAAAGTGATGATGACGACGAGGACAGGTTGCACCAGCCTCGACCACTCGCGGCCACTCTTCCAAGCCTCACTACCTCCGCTCGCAGTAAGTTCTGCTGCCGTTTCTTACCCCTGCCGGGTAGTCATCACCTACCTTGCCTCGGATCCTAAACCAAAACGCCTGCATGTATGATAAATTAACCTGTGGTACAGAAATGTGGAGACCGTGTTGGTTAAATAACGTCTCACGTCACCTCGGAGTAGCAGAACCCCTCGCATATGCTCACAGCTAGGTTAGGTAAAAGACACGTCCGAATGCTGAACTACAATCATAGCGGTCCTTCACCTCGGCTGTAAGACCTAGGTCACTTGTGATACACAACAAATAACGCCTCCCAACATGGAATCTCATTGACCAGATGATTCGGATGTCTCTTGCTTATGACACAACTGCAAGTGTGCCTTCTGTCGGGTAGATAGCAAAGTCTTCTGACACAAAATAGTAAATTTAAACCTGCACGACCTAAAATAACCCCGTAATACGACTGCTTTTCGTGGAACTCACTGCTTCCCAACGTAAACACTGGCTAAGTAATCAGAATCTGGCCATCGGCGGTAACGCTGAAAGTGCAGTCCTACTATGATTTGGTTTACAACGTAGTCCATCAACTCCTTATCCTTAAGAATTTTAGTAGTTCCCATCACCCTCGATTATTCCGGTGGGAAGCCGCCTAAATCATCATGACCCTGTTTCGGGTCCTCGAATCATTCAGTGCTCCTCCCTCCCTGAGCACACTATATGTCTGGTATCGGGTGTGCCGGCCGGCACGCAGTCCTTTTAAGGCCCCCTCCTGACTCTACTGCCCTTTTGTACCGACCGTCCTTTTGCTTCTGCAATCATGTAGATTCTACCTTCAAATTGGAGTCCGCTGCTCTTCTGGCCAATTCGGATGTCCAGCACCAAGTAGGCACCGCTGACATGAATGACAATGTTTCATCCTCTGACTTTGAGGTCTCCGAGCCCGAGACTCTTGCACACGCAAACCCCCGCAGCCCCGCTGCCTGTGCACGTCGTCGCCGATCCTCCTCCCGGTGTGACCGCAGTGGAGGCGTTGCCCCACGCCGACGCAGTTCCTCTCGACGCATCAGTCGGGATGCCTCAGCCCTTCTTGATCTGGATATGCAGGCGACACCTATCCGACTGAATGCTGGCAATGTGAAGTTAATCAGTAAGCATTACTGCAGCTTTCACTGTCCATCGTGTCTTACCTGTTATTACACTGCTTATTCTTCCCTTTCTGACGAACGAATGTTACTTATGTCGTGTTTAAACCACGTTAAGGCATGCTGTACGGTATGCGGCGGTGCAGACAAAAGGGGTCTTAGTGGATAATTTGCATGGTTATCTCGTCGAACGGCAGTGTGCAAGACCTCGGGCTAAATTGCGTCCCGTAAGTACTCATGTGTTGCCGGCAGCTATCATTTTGGTATCAGGCGTCGTCGTCCAAGACCCCGCTGCCTCCAAGTCAGCGGATCTTGACACTTTGACCTGCAGCTACTCGACTGACTGCAACTTGTACACACGTGTCCACGCATTTGCAGCTGACCGTACGGCATTTTTAACACCATCTTTCAGCTAATGCAACACACCAATTGGACAACATTTCAACTTTTCCCCACAAACCTACCAATGCAATTGCCATCACTGCTCACCCTTCCCCAGGCGTGACCTAACACCGTCAGCACGTTCCGGCGAAACCAACAGCCACTGTTGCTTGAGAGGGCAACTCAGTCTTCCGTTTACAATAAGGCCTTCTATGGTGGCGTCTGTCTTTACAACTCAGGATTCGGCCTGGTAGTGGTGTTCTGAGTGCAATCTCACTGCTCAGATGCTACCCGTGCTCCAGGCTTGTTTGTCGATTAATGCATTCACGTGACCCCCTTCTGCCAATTACTGCACAATGTCTGTAATCAAATGTGTTGGGGTTGAAAGAGATAAAACAGCTGGCTGGGTCCCGAAATAGGCTGCCCGAATGGAAATTTGTTTTCCCATTTCTATGTAGGCCTGACCGACAAACCTAACTCGTGTTAAACCGACCGCGATTGCCGTTGGTCGTCAGAACCCAAATTCCCTCGGGACTGACAAGTCAAGATTCCACTGTGATACCCCACACGCTTCTCTCTCCCCCTCTCGTCTATTGTGCCCAATCTATGCTTGAATCCCTGCGCAGACACTTTCCTTTTTAATCCCTCAAGGCAACGCGGAAGCGAACGCAGTTGAACGAAGGCGCAACGACCGTATTGATGAGATCACGAAACTTCTCGATAGCGTACGACAAGAAATAATCTCCGTTAGCAGTGCGCTCCAGGATTGCAGAACGCCCCAAAAGAACATGCCGGCTAGTGTTCGCTCTGAGTCCCACTTTGAGAACAGTCGTTCCCTCCTTATCGCATGTAAGTTCGACTGGGCAAAAATTGTTTTAAAAGAGCTAATCAAATGACTTGAGTAGTATTAAATTTGCCGTCTTTTCTTTTGAATAGGTCAGAGACAACAGGCTCTGATGGAGGAGCTATCTCTGTTGAATCGAGGCTCGCCGGTCCTTGTTCCACCTTTGCGTGGGGAACCACTGAGAGCACGTTTCTGCCTCAACGGCATCCGACTTGCAATCAAGCCGGAGGCTCCTTACAGTCAATTAGGCGGTTTCGCCGTCGTTGGCGAAGGTGGGGTTGGGACCTCGACGCACTATGACGGTCCAGTTAGCGGAAGACGACCCGTAAAGTACCATCTCATGGCGATTCTCAAGTGAGTGGGTTTCATTATCTGGTGTTTGGTACAGTAGACTCATTTACTTACACTTTTTGTCCTTTCGTCTCAGGTGTGTCGGCGAGGGTCGTCTTTACTGTACAGACACTATAACTTTGATGCGCGTTTGTGACCTTCCCGTGGGCTCTGCAAGAGCGGCACCTTTCATCGATCTCCCTGCTAATATTGAGGTAAGTGTGCTCCTTTTGTGTCACCACCTGGATAGGATAAATTCATGCGGGCACCGCCTGAGATTCGGATATTTTCAAATTGTTCAACAGTTGCGTTCGACTACGTCTGCACCTTGTTCATTTGGAAGTAGTGCAACCCAAAAAGACCTTTTTAAGACAAGCCGACGTATTCGAATCTGTGGTGTATGCAAAGTGAGTAGAATGGGTATAGAGACTGCTATTTACCTTCTCAACCATGTATTATATCAAGATGGAGATCCGTAAACCTCTCTTCTATATCTAGCGCCTTTGTTTCCTCTAAATCGTTCTAACTTGCTTGTCGGTGTCTACATCCAGATTGTCCCTCTACGACCAGACTTCCTCATAACCATCGAGATCTATTGTATGACTACTGGAGACTCCGACTCGATGTCGGAGACCGGCCTAAGCTCACTCACCGGCCCTGATGCTCTGGACTCACCGGTCATGGCTACTCCCAAGCGTGGCCTCGGTTTCTGCATATCAGGCTCTCTCCTCTCCTCTGCCAAACGGAAGAAGATGCGCAGCAAATCGACCCTTGCTGTCGACTCCACCCCTACCGGTGGTGGCGGTGGCATGCTGGCCAGGTTCGCCGCCAAGCAGACGCCCGGTCGACGCATTACGCAAGCGAAGGAGTCCACTTCAGGTTTGGTTTTGGTGCTTGCATCCGTACTGCGATGAGTCATATTCACCACTTTTGTACTGTGCCGTCATCTCAGTCCTCTAGGCATCAGGTTAAATACCAGAGGCGGGAACTCAGCAAGGTGTTTGGAAGTGAATGGGACCTAGTGGACATATTGGACTCTTGTCATTCACAAACCCTTCCACATTTGCAGACGCAACATCGGTTTTGTGGAATGGGAGATATTTCGATGAATTCACCCTTCCCCCCCCCCTCTCACCTCCTTATGAGGCACCACAGAAATGTGCTATAGAACAACATAAACTGGATTTTTATGCGTTGTCTGTTAGCCCGAAAACGTGTGTTAGTGGGGCCTGATAATTGCGTCGTTCAACTATGTTAATAGAAAAGGTGTGGCGGTCAAGGATGTGAGATCGACTTAAACCACGCACAATAAGTTCGTTTCGTCTACTGTCAGAAGTCAGGAAGCTGTTAGGACTAGTTTATTCTGTACACAGGGCAGGTTGCCGTGAGTTGGCTGTTTGCTTGCAACAGAGATAAGCGTCCGTTCACGGAGAGCGTCAGTCGCGGTGTGTGTGTTGTTTACGCGGGTGTGCGTCTGGGTCAGCAGGAGGGGTGACTGGCTGAGTGTTGGTTGTGTGATTGGACAAATTAGGGGAGGAATGGAGGGCGCATACTCACAAGGCCTCACGGGAATCAAGCCAAAGCGTTCGACGCGCGTTAGGTGATACTAGTTTGTGAGTGCAGCCGGGGGTCGCTGCAGCTGGACCGGAGGCGTCCCAGTTCTAGCCGGCGGGGTGGTCGTGCGTCAGCGGCCTGTCAGTGCTTGTCACGGCCATCGACCGACAAAACGGAGCCGGAGAAAAGGGGGACTGGAGCAGCTGCTACAACTCCCCCCCAGACACCAAACAAAGTGAAGGCGTCGACACGCTAGCCAGCCACAAACCTGTCGGGCCAGTGGACGTGGCGACCAGATCGTGTGTGGCGAACCGGAGGGGGGCTGTCGCCAGTAGGTGGAGGAGGCCGCACTGTCTGAGGCGGGGTGCGTTGTTGAGGTGAGGAATGGTCACTGTCGTCGATGTAGGCCGGCTTGACGCGATCAATGCTGACTGTGTCGGTCTTGCCGTTGCGGGCGATGACAACATCTTTGTCAGATCGACGAAAGACTTTATACGGCCCGTCAGGGTGGTTGGAGTGGTCGCCGGACAGCGTCATGCCGAACCAAGACGAAATCGCACTTATCCAGGTCGGAAGGGATGAAGGAATTGGCCGGTGACGCCCGAGGGGGCGTTGCGCGGAGTTTGCGCATGACACTACGCAGCTGCTCCACATAACTGCAAGGTTCGAAAAACGTTAGCATGTTTGAGGGAGACACTAACTCACCGGGCAGTCGTAGGGAGGTTCCGTAGACAAGATCAGCTGCAGTGCAACCGATGTCGGCCTTGAGAGTGGAACGGAGGGACAACAGCACCAGGGGAAGGTGATCAGACCATCGGGAAGGATCAGGCTGGGCCATAAGGGAAGTCTTGAGCTGTCGATGGAAACGTTCGACGAGACCGTTTGCTTGAGGGTGGTACGCTGTTGTTCGGATTCGGTTGGTACCGAGAAGGGAAGTGAGTTCGCGAAACAGCGTGGACTCGAATTGGGATCCGCGGTCAGTGGTGACAGTCGCAGGAACTCCAAAATTGGACACCCAATGAGTCAAGAAAGCTTTCGCAACGGTTTCAGCACTGATATCCGGAATGGGCGCAGCAACCGGCCACTGAGTAAAGCGGTCAATACATGTCAGCATATAGGTAGAACCGTTAGATGGTGGCAGCGGACCTACCAGGTCAATATGCACATGACTGAAGCGTGCATCAGGGGTGGCGAAAGTTCCTGGCGGAGTAATAGTATGCCGATGCGTTTTGGCTCGTTGACATGGTAGACAGGAGCGGGTCCAACGCCGTACATCCCGGTTGATGTTGGGCCAGACGAATCGGTCAGTGATGAGTTTCACTGTCGCCCGGACTCCAGGGTGGGATAGATGGTGAAGAGCGTTGAACACTCGTCGTCGTAAAGTTGCTGGAACAAAAGGACGTTCGTGTCCGGTAGAAAGGTCACATGTGATGGTGCCAGTGGCAGTGGGAAGGGGGACATCTTGAAGGCTACTGGTCAGAAAATCACCCGATTCGTTAAGAATGTTAGTATATCGTAAGGTAGATTTAAAATGACCCGATTTAATCTGGCTACAAAAGATGCCGACCTCTCTAATCACATATTTTGTGTGCTTGGGTATCACCGAGTGACAGCTGAAACCCGAGAAACACGACGTCCTTTCTTTCTAGCAACTGTTTCCCTCAACTTCGGTGTTGTCTTTCTTGGCTTCTGATGCGGTGGTCTATGATACGAGATGAACTTTAGCCACACACACAATAAGTTCGTCCCGCCCTAATATCAGAAGTCGAGGGGCTGTGAAAACCGGTCTAGGCAAGGACGCAGTATACGACCCCACTCGGGAAACAAAAACCAGGTCATCGTATAATATGAGTTTTATGGGTGGAGTTAAACGGCGAAAAAGGAGGGTGCGGTAGCAGGTAAACACCCAGATAAATGTTGAGGTGACATATCGCGTCCTCGTACTAGATTTCTCCACAGCTACTTGCAAAAGTTGAGCATCTTTCGCTGTTCTTCCAGTTTATTTTCACAAAAGAAGTCAATTGCGTTGCATCTGGTTATGAGAGCGCCGAAGCGTCAATTGTAAAAAAAGGCGGGGACGCAATATGCCAGAATGACTTGGTTTTTGTTTCCCTAGTGGGGTCCCATAGTACGTCCTTGCCCCGGTCTATTCTGTGTACAGGGGAAGTTGCCATGCCTTGGTTGATTGCTTGTGCGTCAGAGCAAGGCGTCCGTTCGGGAGAGCTTAAGTCATGGGAATGTCTAGCTGAGTGCTGGACGTGTGATTGGTTGGTTTAGGGGTGAAGTTGGGGTTGCATGATCACAAGGACACACGGGCAACAAGCCAGGCTGTCCGACACGCGTGAGGCTGTGAAAGTTTGTGTGCGCAGTCGTGACTCATTGCAGCTGGACAAGAGGCGCCCCAGCTCAGGCCTGAGGGGTGGCCGTGCATCATCGGTGTGACTGTAGGCTTGCCTGGTTGTCCCTCTTATCGACTGACAAAGATGAGCCGTAAAGGGGGAGGGCACTGGAGCGGCTGCTACACAAGAGAGGTGGACGTCAAGGGCATAGGGCTTGTTTTCTCGACATTTGGAGAAGGTGGAGAGATTCTCTTGGCGACGATAGGGTGTAGGACCCCCAAATAGCTTGAGCTAGTCTGTGGACCGTGTCATACGTTAATGGCGGTGGGAGGGGGTGGGGGTTTACGGTTGAGGCAACACACAGGACGGCGAGCAAGAAGAAACAGAAAGTAGATAAATTTCTGCCGAAAGTCTTACCGTACGCTGCCATTTGGAGTCGCCATCCACTTGGGGTCCTACACCCTGTCTTTATCATTCTCTTAACTGGCTGGCTTCGATGACAGCATTTCCCCCCCCCCTCAGCAGCACCAGCTGCCCAATGATTGAGGTCCTGACTGTAGCTCATGTGCACTTAAGGAGTCTCTTCCAGATCACACAGTTGCTTGATGGAGGGGAACCTATTTGATACATCAAGGCAAGGATTAATTGAATTGTAATCAGCTAAAGTTGCGGGCCTTTGAAATGTATGCCGTTAGCCTAACCCCCCTCCCCCCTGCAGATCATTCTTTTCGTCCGGTCTGACTTTGCTAACATAAACCACGTCCTACCCTTGCTTCAGCCTTCATCCTGCTCTCCTCGGTTAATCTGCGTCATCACGACAGCCTGCTGTCTGGCCAACTCCCACAGACTGCAACACAGCATCACCGCGACACAGACTGTGGCCATCTCACCTTCCCTACTGGAATGCCCCTCTTCCTTGCCAATCTTCCCAACTCTTCTCCACTCGCAGGTCCCCTGGGCCTAATTCGAGCCTCGGTTCACGTGGAATCTGTCGTTCTGCGCCGTGGCTTCCTGGTAAGTTTTTTGCCCTTTTTCCCTCAACGGTAGAATAATGCAGGCAGAAGTCGTCCTCACCCTCCTTCATCGCGCTTCTTTACGAAACTACAACAGACCTTCTAAGACTGGATTATTCATCTCGTATTCACAATTGAGACATGCTATAGAGCTCTCCTAGAGGTGCCATTCGGCGCTTTTCAGTCTGTGCTGGACTGCGATTTTTGTGTGTTAGACTGCCACTGCTACCTTGTATTGTTGACTCGACTGCATCAAATCTTCTGGATTGCTGATTCTGTGGGATCTGAAATCGTTCGACAGTGGAGTGAGCAGGCTGCTATAGTCGATAGAAGCTGGGTTTCGAGCTTCCACTTTGGTGGTGGTGGTGGTGGTGGTGGTGGTGGTGATTGCTATTAACTGCCTCTTCTTGCCTCTTCAGACCATTTTCGAGGAGTCTGGAGGCCTGGGTGTCTGGCAAAAGCGTTGGTGCAAGTTGCTGGCGGATCGCCTTCTGTACTGGTCTTACCCAGAGGACGAGGGCCGCGGCATTGAACACCTAGGACGAATCGACCTGTGTCATGTAGCCACGCCCGGGGCCGTGCCCGCCCCACGGAAGCTCTGTGTCCGCTCCAACGCCATCTACATGCGATCTATCTTCTCTGTAAACGCCCAATGGCTTTCCTCATCCACGGGACGCTCTAACTCGGCGACCAGCAGCGCAGATGGAGCCAGTCTCCTGTTCACGGCCTCCTCGGACTATCGGTGGCTGGAGCATAAGTAAGCCATATGAGACGATGATATTGTTCTCAAAATTGTGTTCGCAAGAAGCGGTCAATGCTCCACTTCTACGCATATGTCAGTTCTGCATTTTGAAGCTGGTTCGTCGGAAATTGTCTTTAGTTGCGCATAGTGACGGGTTGCAGCCACCCCTTACAACTCGCAGTGCTGCATTCCGAGCTGTTAAACAGGGCTTCCCCTCAATACCCGTTGTGCTTATGTCCTACCTCTTATCAGTGCTTGGACCGCCATGGTTTCATTTTAATTTATCAAAATCTAATGATGCCCCGGACTCCTCTCGCCCGCTGCACGATAAGAAGTGCAAGGTGAGAAAGCTCAAAAGTCTTATAAAATCGTTACTAACCGAGCTGATAGCTCAGGCTCTGTCGACTCATTCACCCCTTAGAGCTTCTTTGTGAACTGGTGCCCATAAACGCTCGGAATGAAGGCCTGACGATCGATCAATCATATGCAATCGCTGGCCAATCTCATAGAAAGCTGACCAAAATTCTGAATTGTCCTTTTGATTATGAAACAGTGCTTATGTAGGGTTGTTATGCTGATCATCTTGTAGTATAATCCCAAGATTTTCCAGTTTCGTCAGGTTGTGAGCTTTTGAATGGGCATCTCTCCGGTCCCCTGCAAAAACCACACTCGGCAAAAAATGACTACTTAAGTGGTATGAGTTCCCTCCTGTGATTTTCTATGCCTATACGCGTTTAAATATATTTTATTGAATGCCTGTACTCTTTCAGTAGCAAATTACGTCTCCAAATTTTATATTCAAGAGAGGGATTCTCTCGGTTTTAACAAGGCCGTAAAACGCCATTCTCACAGCATCGTATTTCTCCGTCTATTGCTACTGATTAGGCAGCATGCTACATGATCCGCATCCATTATAAAATGTAACGGGCTCCACCTGACGCCTGCTGGATAGCGTAGAAAACTATTTTATTTGAGGAGAACCTGAGGAGAATGAATTGCTCACCGGATCGGGGGACTTTTCTGGCTGACGTTTCGAAGAGCTGGTGTTCTTGGTAATGCAGGCCCTAAACACAGAGCCTCCCTCTCTCTCTCTCTCTCTCTCCCTCTCTCTCTCTCTCTCATAATCCCCTCTACCTTTAACTCCCCCATCTGCAGGCATCTGTTGTGTGCCGACACACCAATGGAGAGGCAGGCCTGGCTCGAGAGTCTGACCAAGTGCTTGGAGGTGCTGCAGAGTTGGATGCCGGAACACTTTGCCCGTCTCCAGCGCTACGATGCACGCCTACAGTTCTGCAACCCTGTCTCGGCGGCTCTGGCCTCTGGAATTGCACACAATCAGTCCTCCGCTGCGGGCTCAAGTGATCCCTAGCTCTCTGCCGTGGAGGGGCTCGGTCCGAGTAAATGTCAGTCCCAATGCCAGATCATCTTATTTAATGAAATTTAACTAAGAGCAGAGACATGAAGCCCTGGCTTGAGCCAGGGCGGCGGATTTTCTATTTTTTGCAATGGATTTGCGTGCGACACCCGCAGATCCAAACTTGCCTGACCCGAGGCCTCGGTTCGTAAAGTCGCGGTAATCACGCCATTTCCCGCATATATTGAGAGGCACGAATACCAATAAAAAAAATCAGAGTCACTGTTGCCGTCACCCGTAAACATCGATCACCCTAGAAGTCCAAGCTACTGACTTTCCAGACGCCGGTAACACAACTCACAAACGCCGAAGGTAGTATAGAATATGAGATGCGTAAAAATTACTGCGTATAAATGGCCAATTCCGTAGACGGGAGGTAGATACAAGTAGGGTCATGATACTCATGACTTTGTATAGGGGTTATACGTGTGACGCGAGACTGGGCTGTTTATCCAGTTATGTTGAGGCGAGAACTACAGCCGTTGTGCACTACAGTCTCGTATCCCCCAACCAGAGGTCGTGTAGACAAGGCTGGGAGGACAGCGTTTACTTTGGATGAAGCAAAGAAGCGGTTGCTCACTGGGACTCCAGCAAGCTATGCGTGTGTCTGGTGTGCATAGCCCAGACACGTGTCAAGGTCACGACAACTGGTCAGTCCGTGGGCACCGTGTTAACGCCGCCGAGGTGTCTGGCCTAAACCGTCGTATGACACGCGGCTGGCGCGTGCAACTGCTGATTCGCGTAGGCAGACATCGTCGGATATACCTGAGTGAGGCGGCGTGCCTGAACGGCTCGCAGCTCCATGACAGTAAGGAAAGACACAAACAAGGGACGTTAGCCGACTTGCAAACCAGCGCGGCCTCGGTTGATGCCAATCTCTTCCTGGCTGGAGGTTCTTCGGCTGCGAGGAGGACATATTACAAGCATCATACCACAATATTGCTCTTGTTTCCATTTTCTGATGCATCTCCTGCAATCGTCGGTTTCCTTATCTCATTCACAATGACAATCTAACATCCTCGGGTATTCTGTTAGGCTAACGAGAGCGCCAGCATTTTTTGCACCCTGACTCTCGACGTTTCCTCCGTCTTCGTTCAAGTCAATGCCTACAGTGTTTCGATCTATAGACTTGGCCATGTGTCCGTTGCGGTAAACACCAGCCATACTTTTTTGAGCCAATACGAGACTGGAGAATCCTGATTCGACTCAAAGACAATATATCAAATCGGGATACTCGTGGTGTTCATCAGTGTCGATAGAAGCCAACAGGCTAGTTCCAAGAGGCAGTCCAGTAGAAGAAGATGCGATCACTGGAACAAGAAGTTTTAATCATCTAACCTTGGTGGTTTTACTCAGTTCCGCCTCGGATTACGGCTCAGATTTGTACGCCTCCTGTACGAGTATTTACATCAAGTAGTCTTAAGACCTTAGGAATAATAGTGGCGCACTTCTGTCCCAAGCCGTGGTCCGACATACCGGTAAATTTCATTGCTAGGAAACGATCAAGACTCTCGGTCGAACTAGAATTGTGGACGCCTGGACTGGCCAGACGCGATAAGATAGATATTAAGAGCTCGGCTTAGTTGTGCGTCATTTAATGTATGGCAGACGCGGACGCAGCGACTAACAGTGCCAAACAGTCCGTCTACGCGTGCCACACACACAACCTGATCCCACTTTATGCGTGCCGAGCTGTTCTAAAGGAGATCTCGGATTTCAAAATAATTGAAAATCCCATAGACGAGATGTAGAAACAGATCAATTGCAGCCCTATCTTCAGTCTCCTTACCTCGCCAGTAGGAAACCTCCCAATCCACGAATGATATTACCCCAGCTTTATGTTGGTGAAGACTGGTGATTTGTCATCAGAACGAGGTTTTCAATACCTGCCTCGCTTTCCCCATCCATGTACCAGTCGGCTGTCAGAGACTGTTAACTAGTCGGTAAAGAATTTCTGCGTAGCGTGCCGCGCGCGGACTCAGCACAGCCTGGTAGGTGGCTGCCCTGAAACAGTCTGGCCACCATTCTGATCCCTTTCGACACAACCAGGTCTCTCCAGCTTCGTATGGACTGCAACCGCGTGTTTGCCGAGACGGAAAATACTGTAAGACAGAACAGACATATGGTCAAGTCGACAGTTGGAAATAGGATAGTGACTGACCTGGTTACAAGGACGGAGGAGACGTCCGGAATTCACAAAATGCCTGTCCTTTCGTCCACACAGCAAATGTCATAGGAGTTTGGATTATCATTTTGAACAAAATGAGGAGACCTGCGGAGTCAGAAGATTCACCGGAAAAAGGAAACAAGAGCAAGTCAGTGCTCCGACGATTTGGATGTGTGATTTTCGCAATCGTGGGAGTCATCAGCCAAATAGAAAGTCGGAATGAACCAAACAGCACTTGGTATTATAGTAGGTTGTATATATCTGAGGCACTTCGGTAGGACGTTCTCATCAAGGCACCTGTGCAGGGGCGCTCTACTGTCGTCATGGATAAGGCTGAGTACTGCAAAAAACTGGGCAACCTCTTGATGGACAAGGAAGCTTATGCGCCATCGACTGTCAGTAGGTTGTATGTATACAAAAGTGTGTGTGTGCCAAGTACGTTTCCAAACACCCAACCTGCGTTTTTCCAATGACATTTGTCAGGTAGGTGTTTTTATTTATCAAGTAACCGGACGATGCATGTTGTTTTCTAACTAGATTTGTTAGTCACAGGCCATGCATGTCTACCATATTTTGCTATTCTTACCAAATATTACAGACCTTATGCCCTAGTCAAAGCTATCACTTGGCTATGTTGATCAATACTTTAGTGCTACCGCACTGCTATTTCGAGTTTGGTGATTCGTGCTGATCGACAGTCCTTTACTGCGTATTAGGCGGCACCTGACCAATCCTCGTGGTTCTGTGTTAAGCTTGTATCGAACTTCTTTCTAGCAGCCTTACGTCGAAATCCTTCGGAATGTGAAGTAGGACTTAGGCAAACATCTTTTTGCTAGTATTTGATGAGCAAAGTGGGAAATACGCTCGAACTGGCACACTCGGGTCCATTTTCGTTTATCTCACAAAATTGGCAACAGCGGTGTTCTATCCCAAAACTGAAGCGCTCTTTTTGACCGCTGTGCGCGCTGACGGTTTTAATGCTTAACGGCAAATTCATGCTTTAGAGAGATGGAGTCGGTCCGGTTGGTATACTTTTATCAGTTTGTGAGAGCTTTGTACACGCCCTTCAGTGTTAACAGGCGTCTGTGTTGTTAAACTCGACCGTATCGCCCTGGAGAACCGTAGATTCGGGACATTCTGTGCTTAAGACCAGGCTTCAGAGCTCCACCCGTTATGACGCGATCCATTGCCTGTCTTACTACAATCGTTTTGCGTTGTTTGACTTTGTGCCTGACTCCTGCTCATGCCTGTTAGGTGCAGTGGCCCCCAGTCCTCACTTGGATCAGCCACGCGGGTAGTGGAGAATACTTAGGTGCTTGACTTTTGATCAAGCGTATGGCTTCGTAGTTCAGCGTGTACCCGTATCCTCTATTCGTCTGCGCCGCTGCGGCTTTTGGCTAGAAGTGGACCACATTGGCCCGCGACATGCGTTAGCCAAGCTGTCTCGGGTCTTCACAAGTCCCTTTCTGTTCTCTTACGCTTTAAACGGAGGTGTCGCGCCACTACACGCAGTTTAGTCTCCAGTCGACTATATTCAGCGTCATCCGTTGTATGGGAGTGGAGAGTTTGTGGGCCCTTTTCAGCTCCTACCCAGAGTTTAGTTTGTTCACGATAAATACCAATACGTGCGTTAAAAATATCACAACTCACTCACTTTCACAGTTTAGTAGGTTGTCAACCCGGAAGATAAGCCAGTCCTACCGAGGACTGCATTGACTTTTATGGCACTGATACGTGTGAATTTGCGGATGAGCGGGCATGT